CACCCTAATCATTTAAATGGTTTCTAGTTTGTGTCTGATGATATATTATTAAATGTCTGCTGCTGTCCACTGCTCCTCCCTGTCTGATGTTACTGGTCTTATACATTAAACATTACCGTCAGATCATTTACACTCACATCACATCTGATTACAGTGTGAACACTATTTTGTACCTGACCATCATCATTTATGAGTCAGTAAAATGCTAATGCTACCTGACTAGCATCATCTTCATCAGGTGTCTTTCTCTTCTTAGAGAAATATGTGAACAAGCTCATCTTCAGATGCAGTCAGCAGTTCCATCATGGCGTGTAGATGTTAGCTTAATGCTATCAATTAGTTTACTCACGTTAGCGACACTGAGTTGGCCCCGGGCCCAATTAACTCAAGATATGGATATGTTACATACCGTTAGCTGGCAATCAATGTTTTGAGAAAGTCTATTTAACTTGTAAAATCTATTATGAGTTACCTTAAGCTAATAAGTCTACCTTTCCTCCGGTAAGTCGCTGCACTATTCTCCAGGACGACTCTCCTCTGACTGACCTGGAGCCTGGTGCTGGACGTGACGTCACTTTCAAGGCTGAGCTCTGGCGAGTAATTAACATCATATTAACTCCCTAAAGAGTAGATAATGAACAAGATAGTTATCTGTCATTTACCTTAGTGCTCTCCAGTGATTAACCTCTCAAAGACTAGGTACTGAGCAAGATATTTATCTGTAATTTACCCTAGTACTCGCCAGTAATTAACGTCGCATGAACACCCCAAAGAGTAAATGCTGGACAAAATAGTTATCTGTTGTTTACCTTAGTGCTTGCCAGTAGTTATCTGTCGTTTACTTTAGTACTCGTGAGTAATGGTGGAAACATGCTGACAAAAAAAAAAAAAATGGAAGGAACTGCAGCTAGGATTTTGGAATGGCACCCGCCACTCCTAAATGAATGTAGAGGAAACACTGCAGAGGCTTTTTTAAAACAATTTTTTCTCTAAAAACAGCAAAAGATGGCAATTCTTGGCAATCATTTAAGGTGATTAAAATGTCACATGTTACGTAGGCGACAGCCATATGAATGTGCATGTAAAATGTTGGAACTTTTGCTATTGCCACTGGACCTGTCAGCCTGGTACCCAAGAAAATGTAGGAAAGCCTAAGCCTAAGCCTTTAAGCCTAACCAAACAGCAACTGAAGAATGAAAACAGTAAAAAAGAATAATACGTCAATGTATAAAAAAAGATGGTTCCACATGGAAAACGAACTCCACTCTCCTGGGTGAAAATCCTGTGACCGACTCATACCATTCTGAGGAATGTGAATGTTCTTAATGCTGCCTCATTTGAAAACACTCATTTGTGTCAGTTTGTGAAGGCAACCGATTGTTTCGGTCGTTTAGGTAAGAGAATGCAAGCGCTGAGAGGGAACCGGAACGGTGAAAATGAAGCCAGCAGCTAAACAAGGAGCTGAAACTCAAATTAAAGCTCTGTAAAGCCGGGAGGAGCTGCAGATTCAGCTGATCCAGAGACGCCTATACATTGTTTTCACGTTGCCATTAGATACATTATTATACATGTGTGTAGTTCTCGTGGCCACGAGCAAACAACGGATTATGTTGCTGGATTTTAAAGATCTTTCACACCAAACTAAGCAAACAGTTTCTCTNCACCACACACACACACACACACACACACACACACACACACACACACACACACACACACACACACACACACACACACACAGTCATGACTCAGGACAAACTAAAAATACGCCCTCGCAGTCTATATTTACACTTAATTAAGAGTGATAAAAGGCTCGGATACTAAATTGTGTTCCGGATCAAAACCAAAATTAGCCCCAGGGGATCATGGGAAAAAATGAGGGGGTTGAGTTGCGCTGAAATTACAGGTTGGTGAAGTCGGAGGGGTAATCAGAGCGGAGGAGCTGCCGTCAGTCTGGAGTCTGAGGACCACCGACTGTCAGTGAATGCATCATCATCACTATCAGCTGTGCCAGTGGATCCTGTTTAAAATGTTCATTCATTTCCACGACAGTGCAACAGATTTTATGATGACTGCTCGTGTTCAGAGAAAATGGAAGCTCTGTCCAGACCGTACAAACCCCAGACAGGCATGAACACTGGCTACAAATGTAAATGAGTAAACTGTTGTGCTGCTGGATACCCAGTGAGTCACATAATGACACCAGCAGAAATACCTAAACTGTAAACGTACAGCAACGTTTATCCAGAAAGGACTCTTTGTTGCTTTCTGGAAGGAATAAACCTTTTTACAGTCAGGACCCCCCGGACAGAGCGGTGGGGTGGAGGCGGTGAGGTCCGGTAACTGTGCGGGCTGCCGGCTCAACGTTGGCTGGACAGAACCAGCTGTTTGTCTCCTGCAGAGCCGAGCAGCAATTAACTCCACATGTACTTCAGAGATGTGGATCAGACCGTCTCCGTGGGTCGGGACTGCCCAGAAACCACAGCCTGTACCATCTGATCTGATCTGAGAACAGATCCACGAAGCCTTGATTGAGATTCAGTTTACAGAATTTGATCTGTTCTGTCGCGCGCCTCCGTTGTAGGAAGCATGTCGAGGATGCTGTAGTTCTGTTTGACCACAATTGTTCTTTCAGCTTCAAAGGATGAGGTCAGGATTTTTTAAGTGTATCTGAAAACGACACTGAAGTGGTTTTTTCCTGCAGGCCTGGCTATAGTCAAGTGATGGGGACAAAATCCCCAATCCTGAAGTTTATCTGAAGATAAAACGAGGCTTGAACCGTCTGAGGAAGTCCAGTGTTCCTCAGTTCAGATGTAGGGGAGAAGTAGTAACTGGAAGTTGTTTTTTTTTTTAACTGAGAAGATGAAAACTCTCTGGGTTTTTATAGAAGAGCTCTGAGGCTCTGTTGTAGGGAAATTCTCTGAGAGGCTCAGCAGCATCCAGGCTGCAAGCTGATCCCCTGAAGTCTGATTCTCTGGTCAGTCTTCACATACAAATAAAAACAATAATGAGATTGTTCCTCTCAGTTTCCTACACCCTAATCATTTAAATGGTTTCTAGTTTGTGTCTGATGATATATTATTAAATGTCTGCTGCTGTCCACTGCTCCTCCCTGTCTGATGTTACTG